TTTTTTTTTTTATTGTTTTCAAACTGTTTAAGGCGTTTTGGGGGTTACCATAATTATGCCCTCACGATGGCTTCTAGCATTTTCATATTAATACCAACGTGAGGGTGGTGACAAGTGATGTGCTTCATTCTACATTCTGCGGCAAAGTTGACAAACTCAAAATATCACCAAACCATAATTAATAAAATTTGGAGCTTATGAAAACTTTCAAGTTTCGTGGCGTGAATACATATGTCATCACAAATGAAATTCAAATAAGCACTGTTATTACATTGGGTTATGGGATTAGGGAAGAAAAATTTAACTTGTAAGTTCTAGGAGTTAAGATTGTTTAACAAGCAAGCTTAAGAAGCGTAGTTATAAGTTAAAAACATTTTTTTTTGTATATCTGCATGATATTTAGAAATTTTCATAAATTTATATTTAAAAATTATTTGGTTAAGCAATAAAAATTAGAGAAAATTGGCTCAATGGCCTTAAAAAAAAACAGCTCCCATAAATTATGGATAAAAATTTTGAATATTTTGGAGTATAGCCCATTCATAAAATTAATTAAATATATTTTACTTTTTTATCCTTAGATTAAATTTATTATTAAAACACAATATATCTATTGTAACTAATTATTAATTGATTGAATCTTTTTTTTTTTCTCTAAATCATTTCTTTTTTTAAATATAAAATTGTCAGTGTCTTTCTTCATCGCAGAGCTTTCTTCTCTCTCCCTCTCTTATGAAGAGATCATTAGAAATTGAAGAGAAATCTTCATTTCTGAAAGCAAAAGAGCACACTAGAATCTATTATCTATCATTAAATTTTCACCATCTTCATATCTCTCGATAACATTGAATTTTTTACAAACTGTGTTTGATTCATTTTAAATAAATAATTATGTATTTTTTGTGTTATTGATTTGCACTATCAATGATAAACAAGTTTACGTCTGATTATCTAGTTATATTGATTTACGATAGTATATCAGTGATATACAACAATATATCAACGATGTAGTGTTACAAATCAATAACACAAAAATACATAATCATTTACCTAAAATAAATCAAATACAATCCACAAGTATTTTTGGATTCTTAGTTTATCACAGAAAGTTAAATACCTAAACTAATAAAATAAACAATCATGAATATGTAACTTCATTTCTTCATTGACGTGCTCCGTTTTGTCGATGTATCTCACTTGACATTTGTCTCTTACAGTCATGACTGTGGCTCTCTCACACTGTTTTGTTGTCTCACTTTTGTCTCTCTCACATCCAATTCTGTCTTCTCTCTCACATTTATCTTTCTCATTTTAAAGATTTCTTGCTTTTTGAATATTCCAGTATTTGCAAAAGGTAGATATTAAAAAAGTGATTTTGTAAATTAATTATAAACTAAGTAATAAAAAGGCTATTTTTTAAATTTAAGAAAGGATAGACTATTTCTTTTATTTGGTCTTATGAAATAGGCTATATGTGCAAATGCCCTAAAAATTATATGTTGAAAAAAAAAACAATAAAATTATATAAATTAATAATTATAATATAGAAAACTTTTGTGCTGTTAGAATAATGAATCATGACATTGTTTGTTTTATGATTTGTACATAGTATAAGTAATTGATGATTTTTTTTTTTACATTAGGGTGGTTTAAACATTGAATGTTTACCCTAATAATAAGGTCACCTTTAATCCTAATAATAATGCCGTTGCTGTTGGAATCATAGAGATGATACCGGGGACTTTGTTTGGGGTTTTTTTGTTTTTTTGGGATTGCTTTCCTTTTGGCTTTTATGATTGAAATTGAGCATGATAAAGTCATTTTTGAAAGTGACTGTCTTTTTTTTTAAAAAAAATTATAAGATAAGTCTAGACTTGAAAATTCTTAACACTAGAGGAAAAGTAAACAAAACAAATTACACATTTCTATCTAAACGATAAAAACACAACTTAGCGGGGATGTATTCAAAAAGACAAAGCAGTCGATCACATTATGTACTTCCTTGGCAAGATAGTCTATCACACAATTGATCTCTCTATTAGAGTATCGAACATGTATGCCTTTAGCCAAAGATAGGAGTTGTCTAGCTTCATGTACCTCTTGCCTAAGTGGATGATCTGGCACACATCTATGTTGCAAAAGCTGAATCAAAGTGATGCAGTCAATATGATAGTAAATCTAAGTAAAATTATATTGTTTACTAATCCTCAATCTTTCCATGAGACCCTGAAGTTCAACAGTTGTAGGTGGTGAGAAATTAAGTCATTTTTAGAATCCCATAATCCAATCTCCTCTTGAATTCCTAATGACCCCTCTATAAGTAGCATATCCCTCTTGATTAACCGATTCATCTGTATCAAGCCTATAATAACTAGTCGAGGGATGTCTTCATTTCTCCTTCAAGCCTTCCATGTTCTAAAAAAATTTTATGTTTGAATTTTTCATTAGCCTTTGTTTCCATCAGATGAAACTTGATGCTTTAAACAATTTCAAATGCATTAAGATGTTTTCCTTCCATAGCTTTCTTGCATCGATTCTTCCATAGCATCCAACACACAGAGCAAAAAAATTTTATCCGAGGCCATTATTGATTGTCAACTCTACCCAATTCATGCTGTGAGTTATATTTTAGCCATTCCTACAAGTTAAAAGAAAGCAAAGAAGACAAATATATAGGGTTAATTAAAGAAAGCCAAACTTCTCTAGCAATCTCACACTCTCAGAAGATATGTATTATGTTCTCCTCTCTATCACACTTAAAAGGTAAACTTGGTAAATTGTGAGCGAGATCATTGTCCTGAGTTTTGTGAATGGACCTATGGAGGGATGGCATTTGATAATTTGGACTTTGTGGCTTCTAATTCTGAATTTTCTTTTTCTTTCATTCATCATGAAGATAATAAAGTGACGTGTTACGTTCCATATTTGAAGGACTTGAGGAGAGACATAAGCACACAAGTGGATGTGTTACACACTTCATTGAGCTAATTTTTTTAAAGAGAGAGAATAATGGTCCTCTGATAAAGTAATATTAGGCTATGTTTGGTATGAGGTATTGAGAAGTTGGGACTGGGACTAGTATTAAAGAAACTTATAGATACAACATTTGGTATGATGGATTCTTTAATCCTTGGGTTTGATGAAACTCATGTAGATAGGATTAATGAAACCCATAGGGGAGGTGGTATTGAAAATTTAAACTTGAGATTGAATTTTTTTAAACTAAAATACCCTCTATTTTTTGTACATGTTTGGCCTTCTACCTTCATCTTCTCTTATCTCACAGCCACCGGCCAATGCGAACACCTTCTCCTTCTCCGATCTCACAACCACAACCTCTGGATCTTGCAACCATTGCTACCTTCTCCTTCGTCGATCTCACAGCCATCGTTGTTTTGATCTCGCAATCACTTTCATCTCCTTTTCTCATAGGTCCAAACTTGATCTCCCTCTCTCAAAAGATGCACAATCACGAAAGTATGGAGAAGATGAGCCCTGTGCTGCCATACTTTTTGGGAGAAGGTTTCTAATTTTTTTAAATTTTAAGGGTAGTATAGTCTTTTCATACTTTATATTTAATTGTAAAATAAAATAAAATAAGTATACTCTATAAGTATTACCTCATACCAAACATAATTTTCAAATATCATTCCCACTATTAATTCTAATATCAATTTCAATACCAATCCCTCTAAATTAAAACTTGCATATCAAATGGAGCTTTAGAGTTAAATTTAAATTTTCTTTATCAATGAGCCATTTGTAATAGGAGGGTTGGCTAAAAAAGCTATCATGTCTCACATTGAAGGGATTGGGAATGAGTCTTGGACATATAAATGGATGAGCTACATATTCATTGAGTAGCTCTTTAGGTGAAAGTAATAACTTCATGACAGGCAACTAAAGTTTGTAAAGATGCTTGGTAAGATAGGAGGAAACACCTTCACTTCTTTTATCTAATATTCTAACAATGGATGTCATAAAGACCTCTCTAAATCTTGAACCTTTTTAAATGTCATCAGCAAGATCGAGCATTGGTTGAGCTTAGCGTCGTGTTATTCTTTTCCTGATTCTTCTTTGTTTTTTTTTTTTTGCTGGTCGGCTATTTTTCTTACCCCTCCAAACGTTTATGACAATTTTGTTATGCTTGAATGAAGTACTTCTTTGGCCAAAAAAAAAAACGTTGAATGAAGGACATATTGATTGTTATTTATATAATATGAAAATGGCTAACTTAGTAAATGTAAAAGTAGCTTTAATATTATTAAATTTTAACAATTTAATTCATTGTTATTGAATTTAAAATAGATACAAAAATAACTAGGTGATTGGACCCTTAAAAATTAAAATCAATAAATAGGAGGGTAGAGAAGGATGGAAAAGAAGGGTGAAGCAAGGGTGGTGACTGGTGACTTTGGAAGTACACCGTCTGTTTCTACATATAAATTAATAAATTAATTAATGATTTTTTAAAGTTATTTTATATGCAAATTAAATCATTATTTGCTTCCTTCCAATTTTATCTCTTCATCACTTTCATGACTAAAGTAAAATAATATATATAAAAAATAAAATATATTTTAAAATGTACATTTAATATGAAAAAATAAAAAAAAGATAATACCAATAAATAGTTTAATTATCTTGCCTTGATTTTTATATTTGAATAAATATAAATCAAAATCATTAAATTGACAACCCCAAAAAAGATCGTACTCCGACTACTCCCCCATTTCAAATAATAGAACATTTTTAAAAAACAATTTACACTTTCAAATATAAAATATTTTAAATAGATTAAGATTTTATTAAATATATTAATTTTAATATTATTTTTTTCTCTTTAAAATTAATTTAAATTTATTTTTTTTAAATGTATTAAATAATGGGTGTTTTAAAAAATTTATATTTTTATTTTAAATATATTTAATAAAATATTTTGTAATTTGAGAGGGGGGAATATAATTGCCAATTTCTTCTCCTATGCGTGTCCCTTCTGATTCTACCTCTCCGAACAATAGAGCGGGTTCTTGCGTAGCAGCTCCTCTCATCGAAGCCATGGAAACAGTCCCGAAACTCGATTCCAATTCTGATTTTGACCTCATAATTTTGGGTGCTTCGGGGTTCACTGGCAAATACGTTGTCAGAGAAGCTCTCAAATTCCTCAATGCCCCTTCTTCCCCTCTCAAATCCATCGCTTTGGCAGGTCGCAACCCTGCAAAACTCTTCGAAGCTCTTAAATGGGCCTGCCGTCCTGATCCCCCTCCTTCCATCCCGATTTTAACTGCCGACACAACAGATCCCCCTTCCCTCCTCAGGCTCTGTGGCCGGACCAAGCTGATTCTCAACTGCGTCGGCCCCTTTCGTCTCTACGGCGAGCCTGTTGTTGCCGCTTGTGCCGAAACCGGGTGTGACTACTTGGATATAAGTGGTGAGCCTGAGTTCATGGAAAGGATGGAGGCCAAGTACCACGAGAAGGCCGTGGAGACAGGCTCCTTGGTGATATCGGCATGTGGGTTTGACTCGATTCCTGCTGAAATGGGACTGATGTTCAATTCGAGGCAGTGGGAGGCTCCGTCGGTGCCGAACCGTATCGAAGCGTACTTGAGCTTGGAGTCCGACAAAAGGCTTGTGGGTAACTATGGGACTTACGAATCGGCTGTTTTGGGCGTGGCTAATGCAAAGAAGTTGCAGGAACTGCGACGATCGAGACCCCGAAGAGCTAGGCCAGTGGTAAGAGAATCTTAGACTTGAAAAATGTTTAAGCCCTCGAGGCATTTCTGAACTTACTGGCTTCCTGATGTAGAAATGTAGGTGAGGTGAGGGGCAAGTCTAATTGCAACTCTCCATAGTCGTCTAGTTGGTAAGAAAGTTTCTTAAAGAAGTTGGAGGACTGTTTCATGGTGAGATAGCGATTTGAGTAATTGAATATTAACGGAAGCATAAATGATGGAGCAAGAGTGGTATTTCCAATGATCCATGTCAGTTCTAGGAAAGCCAGTGCAGAAATGATTCTAATTATTGACACGAGAACAGTAAAAATGGTTGCATACTCAAGCTGTCTCTGTCAGTACATGTGAATGTAGTGGTGGTTTACTGTGATAAAAGTCAACATTCAATTATTTCCCCTCGGCAGTATTTGTGGCGGATGTTTAGTTGGTATAAACAATGGGAATAATTGTTATAAAGTACGAAGTTTACAACTTATAATTTGTTATATATGATGGCTTAGTTGTGACAATATGTGGTGGCTTAGTTTTGTAACCAATCACATAACCTATATAATGTCTAATGCAGTATGTCAAACATGCCAGCAAACTGCACATCTATATGGGAGAGACCCTGATAAAAAAATAGATAACTTGAGACATCGAAAGATTTGTACAACTATACCTTGAAATTGAGCTCGATGGAGCAAAATGTGGGATTTGGTGGAAGGGAAATGGGGTATTTTAACTTACAAATCATTTTGAATGTCAGAAATTTTGATTTCTTACTTTCATGGATCATTCTGTGTCTCAAATTTGATCTTGCGACGAACTTGAACTAATGTTGATCTTGCCAGTGTTGTCTATTGACCATCTGCCCCCTTCTTTCACTCTTTTACATGGTTTAAATACTATGTCATTATATCAACCTTTATCTTAATGCTTGTAGATTCCTGGACCTCCTCCCCCCAAAGGAATTATTGAACACCAGAAGAAAATTGGCCTTTGGGCAGTAAAACTACCTTCAGCAGACTCAGTTGTTGTTCGAAGAACACTTGCAGTTCTAACAGAGAATCCCCGTGGTCTCCCTGGAAGGAATGATAGCACTGAGGTGATTGAGAAACGGGGAGCATACTGGTCAACTGTGAAGCCGGCTCATTTTGGTGTGAAAGTAGGCTCCAAATCCTTGTTGAGGACTTTTGGATTCGTTACAATTGGGGTGTTCTTCGGTCTTTTGGGAAATTTTTCTTTTGGAAGGTGGCTTCTATTGAAATTTCCCTCATTCTTTAGCCTTGGTGGGTTCAGGAAGGAAGGTCCTTCTGAAGAAGAGGTTGAAAGCGCTTCATTTAAGATGTGGTTTGTAGGGCATGGTTATAGCAATGGGAGTCTTGTGGCACAGGGGAACACAGAACCTGATATGGAAATTATAACTAGAGTAATGGGACCTGAAATTGGATACATCACCACTCCAATCACTCTAATTCAATGTGCTCTTGTGCTTCTCAGCCAACGGGACAACCTACCAAACGGAGGAGTATATCCTCCAGGTATAGTTTTTGGTCCTACTGATCTTCAGGAAAGACTTCAACAAAATGGGATATCATTTGACGTCATTTCGAGGACCACTCTTTCCTCTTGATTCTTGTACTTTGATCCTTTGTTAGATGAGATGACACAAAGTTACCCAAGTTACCCTGATCGGCAGGGAAACTCTCTTTCTATGTTCTCTTGTCTTTTTGACTTGATCTGAATATGATAATCTCTTAACCGATAGCACGTCTTTTCAGGTGCATTTTAGTCATATCATTCACGCTGATGATTTAGGAAAATAATGATGCAAAGTAGGCCGCGCAATTTCTAATTGCTCCCTTTTATTTTGACTAATTATATTCCTGTTACGGATTGATTGATCATTGCTTGTTAATCTCTAATTTAGTTTAATAAATTTCCCTTGGCCCTTGTATGGTTATCGCCTCACCGGATTAGTTAAGATGGGTGTTGAGAAAGATGGTAAAATGTTTGAATCCAGTTAAAGTACATGAGCTTTGAGTCTCACACTGAGAGAACTGGTTTAGATTCTTAAACATCGGGGAGGCAAAATTTTATTAAGGAATTGAATAACAAAGCACAAACTTCAAGGAACAACCAGAGGCGTTCCTTTTTTATTTAAAATTTTCACTCAAGGTGGTCATGCGGCCTTAATGACATGAACATGGCAGCGTACTGCAAAAGCCTGCGTTCAGTGCTACTGCTTCCTCCATCTTCGATCACAGGGGTCACCGGACCTCGTGTCCTCTGCCTGTATCGCCGCCATGCAAATTGTATGTTGACGGCAGCCCACGTTCTCCAATTAGATGAGTAATATCTCGCCGTTCTCTTTAGCCTCTCGTTTGCGAATTTGTACCTGAAGTGGTCCGTCACATACTTGAGGTGATCTGCCTCCAAACCAAAGGCTTCTGCTGATTCCAGGCATATGAACGTGGCAGATGATGACGGAAGTCGGTCGAGGAATGGCCGGCGAAGGCACCATGAGAGAAGCTCGTCCCCCAAAAACCCCCCAGCTTCGATGATGCTTGTGGCCACCATGCCTTTGCTTAGACTTTGGATGCGTTTTATGCGCCCGCGAACCATAAACACCATTCTTGGCACTGGGTCCCCTTCTCTGATAATCTGTTTCACAAAAAGCTCGTATATGTTAGTCAAAACATGGTCTTCCATGCTGTGCTCTCATATAATGTAATATCCAAAGCATCGAATAAATAAATAGGACTACGTAGCAACTGTCTTCTTGATGTGTACGCGCACCTTTTCATCTTTGGAGAAGACTAGGGGTTTAACCCTATCGCAGATGTTGTCAAGGATAAGATCATCCAAGTTATGAACCAGAGGTACCTGCGAAACACACACCACGTCGCTCTATCATTTTCTTCTTTTTTAATCCAAGTCTCATGTTATAGTGGCTTGATATAGATTTTTTTATATATAGATACATAGATTAATCTCCAGAAAAGCGATTTGTCTGTTTTGATCTATTCGCTGAAATGATTTGCAGAAAACTCAAACCACTGACTGGGGCAATTCTTGTTACCTTTTTTATGAGGTCTAAGCAAAGATAACGCTTGATGTCTCTCCTCAGTCCTTCAGGAAAGTCTTTGATCATATCCATTTCGTCCTCTCCTCCCATGGCCGCCCATCTCTGGCGTTCGAACTGGCGAACTCTCCGTCTTAAACGGGACGGAAGTTGCCTCCTCCTCATCCACCATTCCATGTCACGACATCTCAGCTGCATCTTTCTTTTCTTCGCCATTACTGCGTGTAAGAAAACCTTCACGGAAGCGACAAATCCTCATATTCGACATGAAATCGTTTATGTAACTGTGTTTTTGGCCCAATCCCCCCCCCCCAAAAAAAAAAGAGCTTCACCAGAAATTTTTTTTCAAGTTCTTTGGGTCTATATGATATACCTGGATGTTACCAATCAACAGAGTGAAGAGCATTAGTCCGCTGAGTACGATGCATATGCTGAAAATCACTTCAAGCCAGTTACTCGTGGGCTCAAGATCATTGCCAAAAGTGCTGCATGGGAATTTCCACATGAAACAAAACGTTTAATCTATATGGTTGAGGAGATGCTTCTAAATCATGAACGACAGACAACAATATAAAGTAAAATCTTAATAACTTGATATGATTCCTGAGAAGGATTATGCACGGACTTGAAGCATTATCTTCGTCCACAAATAGTGATAATTGAGAGTATGTTTTACTCGGTAATATATATACCTTAGGGTCATCAAACCCCAAAATATAGGATAAAGAATCTTGACAGCCAAAGAGTTGCTGGAAATGACAGGCAGAGCCCATTGGTAGATGCCATATTTAAAAGGTCCTTTCACATCTAAACACAGTGGCTTTCTTGCCACCACTGTGGAGTTTCCATTGCACGAGGTTCCTTGCGTGCCTGTTGGTGACAGAAACTTGTAACACACTTCATCTGAACAAGACAGAGGGAGATCGCACCCATACCCTCTTTCACACTGCTGCCTGAGGCACGACGCTACACGTTGAATTGCGAGCACATACCAGCACCCTCCTGCTACCTGCAAATAGAAGAGGAAACAAGGTTCGAAACAACAAACTGATCATTTCAACTTAAACTCGAAACTGAGTTTGCGGGTAAGAACAACAGAGGGAGCCGAAGGGTGCGGTTAATTACGTGAGAAGCAATAAAGTAAGCTAAGAGATTGAGGCCAAAGCCCCACCAAATGGTGCCGAAGATATAGCCCGTGACTTTTTGCATCCCCTTCATCATGCAGATGCTGTGGTAAACCTTGGGAAGAAATTGAAACAAGAAGATCAATAGCATTATCGTCATTATGATTTTAATTTTCTCTTCTCTTATCAATTTTGGAAGTATCAGCCAAAACACTGCCTGCAAATATAAAGGAAGAAACACATCAATTCAGACCATTTGCAATACTTTCTTAAGCTAGTCTTGCCAAACTAAGATGCTCAATAGAAAGAATCGCAAGAAACCGTACATTAGTTGATAGTTCAATTGTAAATTTAATTATGTGGCTGTACCAGGCATAGTTCTTTTCATATAATAGTATATCTCGTTATTGGTAAGGTAAAAATAAGCGTCCGAAACTGCTTATAAAGTCACCCATATATGCGTACGGAATCAGCTTTTTTACTGTGTCAAAAGATGAGACTTGCGAGGAAGGAGGCGTAATTTGGAGTTTGGATGAGACACAGCAATCATTGATGCATGATAAACTCATCACGTGGCAATGACGCTTGAAGATTCGAATTGGAAACAGTTTGAGAATGAATGCAAATTTTCTAACCTGAGGAACGGGAATTATCACAAAGGCATCGAACCAGAAGCCTCTGAAGGATCTCAGGTAATGCGCGGCGATGGCACGGGCGTCCCACACCAGCTTCCCACACCCAACCACCATCGACTCCTTCGACACGTAAGCCAGCCTGAACTGCAACCACATGTGGATCACGTGAACCACGTCCACCAACGTCCTCAACACCGTCACTATCGCCGCTAAACTTCCGTCCATGTACAGGCACGGCGTCCCGTCCCTCCCTATCGACAGCGCGTAGAAGAACAGGGGGTCCACCGCCAGCGCCAGCCCTCGCGCCAGCAGCAACGCCCTGTTCCAACTCTGCACGCGCTTGCTCCTCGGGTCCAACACTCGCCCGAGTGGCCCCGATTTGGGCCGTTGCCTCAGATTCTTCGCCGTGGTTTTGTACTGGATAGGGATTAAGGAAGAACCCGCGGAAGCCTCCCATTGCGGCGGATGATAGCTGTCGCAGCTGGTGGAGTGGAAGACAGGGACGCCCACCTGAGTGCAGGCATAGCACTCGACGGATGAGCTGGTGTTCGGACTGCTGTCATCGGCGACGACGTCGATGCCACTATCGCCGCCGCTTCGACTACTAGTTGAATGACTTCCCAAGCACCTAGGGAGAAAGAAGAGAGCGGGCATGATTGGTGATAGAGAGAAACCATGGGAGGGGGTTGTGGATATTGAAGAGAGGGAAGAAGGAGAGCGAAATAAGTATAAGAGCAAGAAAACGTTGATAAGCTAAGGACAGATGACGACTATGGAAGTGGGGAGAGAGAAGAGGAGGTGTGGCTGAGAGTAGATATGTGTGTCAGTTAGAGCACATGAAATGAGAGTGAGGGTGCTGATATTTGAGGGAAGGGAAGGCCCTTAAGGCCACGAAACTGGATGGGTGGTGGGTTTGGATTGGGGTTACGTTCATGCACACACTGTGAATTCGATTTATTCAGATTCTTATATGCTTCGAGGAAAATAAGTAACAACATAACGAAATGAAGTAGACTTTATGTTTTTTAAAAAAATTAAATCTCATGATATCTTCATCTTCATTATTATTTTTCAATAAAACTATTCGCAAGGTATATGTAGTTTTGTAATTTCATATATATATATAGAACCAGATTTGATTGGTTGCCGTGGCCTACTGGCCTGGCTGTTTGGCCACCTCGCCATGTCCTTTTTGGGACCACTCCCGTCTACTTTTTGTTTTTATTCTCTTCATATCCTTTTTACCCTTCTTCATCATTCTCAATTAATATATATTCCATCAATCATTGTGAGTCTCAGTTCTTTTGCTTGAATCAGACATCACTTAAAAATTAAGGCAGAGATTGTGTCAAATAATTACTCGAGACTTCAAATAATTACTCCATAGTAAGTACGTACGTACGTACATATACATGCATACATGTAACATATCCTAAGCCTATCTGTTTGTATCCTAAATCTATTTGCTTGTACCTTGATTCTTTAATCCTCGACACCTCTTTGATCTCAAAAAGAGACTTACTAGCAATTTTTCCTTATATATTTTATGCTTGTTTCAGCTGCTAACTATTATAGATTTTCCATCCTCTCCCAAGGAGAGGACAACCTTGGAAAATTGCAATATATATATTTATATATATCATTTAACCAATTTATTTAATTATCAGAAATCAGACGAGTAGTTAGTAAAGCTTTATGAAAAGTGCCAAGGGGCGTGCGTGAGTGTCAAGGCCGAACTTTTCAATGGCTGATTAAATTCACTCATAAGCCCAAAGAAAATAATATGATGTGACAAACCTACAATCATGTCATTAATATTAATATTAAGATTACATCTTACTTGAAAAAAATATTACCCCTCCGTTCTAGTTCTAAATCATAAGGTAATCTAAAATAAGGTTATGGATACAAATAAAGTTTAAT